TACGTTCTACTGAGTTCTGTTCTATTTATCTACGTTCTACTGGGTTCCACTGGGTTCCACCTGTGAGCTGTCACCTGTGTGTCCTCAGTGTTTGTGCGGTACAACCTGGGCCCAGGTGAGGTGGTGGAGCTGCAGGAGGAGGCGAGTGTGTCTGAGCTGAAGGAGGCAGTGGGATGTCAACATGGAGTCCGACCACAAGAGCTCAAGGTTCTGTTTGCTGGGAGGGAACTACAGAGCAACGCCACGCTGCAGGTGAGGTCAGAGGTCAGCTACAGGCATCACTACTGGGTTCTGTTCTACATTCTACTACAAAGAGCTGGTTCTAGATCAGGCTCTGGAACTGCCCTGGTGGAAAAGAGGTAATAGAGAGGGTGTGGCTACAAACAGACAGTAGCACATAATGATTTCTGTCACACGTGAAGAAACTCTGCAACACTCGGGCTCAGCCTCATTCCTCACTTCTCCGTTTTACGATTTTGTGTTTCAAAGATTCGTAGAGATTCTGGGAGAAACCGGTTTTTGTTTGGTTTCAGAACAAAGCCACACATGTGTATGTCTCATGTTAGAATACTTCCTTATAGGTCCAGCCAATATGAGCATAGACGGAATAAGAGGAAAGGCACAGGTCCTTATGAATAACTCAATAGTTGTGATGAGAACACAAACCATGTGTTAATGTCATTGAACATTATGACCATTAAAGGAAGTTTCCTCTTCTTCTCTCAGGATTGTGACGTCCCGGAGCAGAGTACCATCCATGTCGTCCTCTCTTCTTCCGAATCCTCGTCCTCCAGGTTTCTCCTCTCAGAGCAGCGTCAAATGGAGGAGGGGGGGCAGGGGGAGGGGCAGAGACCAGACCTCAGTTCCTCCTCTCACCCCCACCCTTCGTCCACTGACCTGGAGGGGAGGAGGGGAAGAGAAGAGGAGGAGATAGAGGAGACGCAGGGTGCAGCTCAGAGAGGTTGGTGTGTAGAATTGTGTCTGCAGGTGTGTGCACAGGAGAATGTGTGTGTGCAAGTTAGTCATGGAGTTCCACAAGGTTCTGTCCTTGGACCGATACTCTTCACCTTATATATGCTCCCTTAGGCAACATCATGAGAAAGCACCACAGACTCTTCCATTGTTACGCAGACGACACCCAGCTGTACATTTCTATGAAGCCTGATGAATCTAATCACTTAGTTCAACTTCAGGAACGTCTCAAGAACATGGAGGCCTGGATGAGCCAGAACTTCTTACTTCTAATTCAGACTGAGGTCGTTGTCATTGACCCTCAACATCTCAGAGAATCACTGTCTGAACAGAGTCACCTTGGTGTCAGTTTGTCCTCCAGCTCCACTGTGAGGAACCTTGAGTTATGTTGGACCAGGACATYTGACCAACACATAGAACAAGTCTCTAGGACAGCTTTCTTCCACCTGCACAATATTAAGAACATTAGAACCATCCTGTCTCAGAARGACGCTGAGAAACTCGTCCATTTGTTCTCTAGACTAGATTAACTCTTTATTATCAGGACGTCACAGGAAGTCTGAGAAAAGTCTCCAGTTGGTCAAAGTGCTGCAGCAGAGTGCTGACAGGAAGTAGAAGGAGACATCTTATTACTCCTGTCTTCTCTACATCGGCTCCCTGTAAAATCCAGAATATCAAGATCCTGCTCCTCACATTTAAAACCTTAACAATCAAACCCCACATACGTCAAAGAGCTGATAACACTGTACTATTCAAATAGATCAGTTCACTACCAAAACACAGGTTCTCCTGTGGTTCTAGAGTCTGTAAGAGGAGAACAGGAGGTAGAACCTTCAGCTACAAGGCTCCTCTCCTGTGGAACCAGCTCCCACTCTGGGTTCTAGAGTCTGTAAGAGGAGAACAGGAGGTAGAACCTTCAGCTACAAGGCTCCTCTCCTGTGGAACCAGCTCCCACTCTGGGTTCTAGAGTCAGACACCATCTCCACATTTTAGGTTAGGGTGAAGGTGGTTTGGATAGAACCTCCAGCTGCCACAAGGAATTTATGTTTAGTTATTTGACTTTATGTTTGCGCCTGTTCCCAAATAAAAGAGGCTGAAACCTGAATGGTTCATCGTTGAGAGACTCCGGTGGCAGCGGCGTCTGCCACGGTTAGACATACAGTAAAACGTTCCTCTTGGATAAAGATTACAGTTAGTTCTGGATCAGGTTTGTCTGTTTTCAAGTGTGTATTTTGTGTGTCTTTAGGTGTGCGTGCCTGCAGTACTTTCTTTGTGTACTGTAAAAGCTGCAGTTCGGTCCAACCAGGAAAACTACGAGTTCGCTGTCGACGCTGCAAAGAGGCTACGCTGAAACTGAGCAGAGTGAGAACAGTTCACAGATCAATACTCTGATCAATACTCTGATCAATACTCTGATCAATACTCTGATCGACACACTGAAGATTCTCTTTCTGTGTCTCAGGGTCCTTCTTGTTGGGACGACATCCTCCTTCCAGGTCGAATCCATGGCTTATGTCAATCAGATGGTTGTCAATGCAACGAAGCGGTACGGGGACACAATTTAAGGAGATGTGAAGAGAGTTTTGGTAATAAGAGCTGACGACGGTGTCTGGTGATGTAAACATGATCACATGATCTCTGCAGCAGAGTTCATATGTCACTTCCTGTGTCTGTCTGCTCCACCTCTCACCTGAGGAATGAGGAGGATCTGTGCAGAAAACCTGCTGCTGAGTGGTTCAGCTGTGAAACATGAACTCTGGAGAAACTCTTATTGTCAATATTAATAGGGTGTGCATGTGTGCATGTGTGCATGTGTGCGTGTGTGTGCGTGTGCCCACACAGGAGTTCGTCATGAAGTGTGCGTCCCATCCGACCTCTGATGAGGACCTCTCTGTGGCCCTTGACCTTGTTATGACCAACACCAGAGACGTGCCCTGCATCGCCTGCACCGACATCATGTAACACACACACACACACACACACACACACACACACACACACACACACACACACTATTAATATTGACAATAAATATATTAACATTAAAAGGATCAGACGAGCAGCAGCTGAGTGTGTTGTTGTCTCCGCTCAGGGAAGTGGTCGTGGTCTTCCTGTGTTCACAGCGTCATGTGATCTGTCTGGACTGTTTTACACGTTACTGTGAGACCCGACTGAACGAGCGACAGTTTGTTCATGACGATGTGATTGGTTACTCTCTGCCATGTGCAGGTGAGTCCACCTGATGTCACACGATTATGTTTGCTTCATCAGCACAAACTGTCCATCACTGTGTGTGTGTGTGTGTGTGTGCGTGCAGCTTCCTGTGACGACTCTCTGATTAAAGAGCTTCATCACTTCAGGGTTTTAGGAGACGAGCAGGTGAGTTTATTAATTAGCATCATCATTTTACCCACAGTTCACCTGACTCACCTGGGTTCTCTCTCTCGCAGTATGGGCGGTACCTGCAGTACGGGGCAGAGGAGTGCCTGCTGAGGATTGGAGGACTGATGTGTCCGTCACCAGGCTGTGGGGCGGGACTTCTCCCAGCTGATGGCAGCAGGAGGGTGGAGTGTGACAGACGGGTGGGCTGCGGCCTCATCTTCTGTAGAGACTGCAGAGAGCCATACCACGAAGGCGTCTGTCAAACCCTGAGGGCCACGCCCACAGTTGAAGCCTCACAGGTTAATGAAATAATCCCTGAATCTTGTTTGTGCTTTGCAAAACTCAGAACAAGAGAATAAAACGAGAGCAGTTCATGGTCACAGCGGCTGTGGTCAGGGGGCAGATCTGTGATGTTTTGGTGGCATGTCAATCACACGTCACAGTCTCTGCTGCCCCTGCTGGAAGGAGCAGGATGATGCAGGACTAACTCCTCTCTACCCGTCAGGATTTCATGGTGGGGGAGGATGCATCTCTCAGGGGGAGGTGGGATCGATCGTCTCTACTGCTCATCCAGGAGTCGACTAAACGCTGCCCCCAGTGTTCGGTCCCTGTAGAGAAAAACGGTAAAGAACCCTGAGGGTGTGGTCAGTAGGTGGCACACAACAGCAAAACAGAATAATACATACGTCTGACTTCACATCTGTTCTGGTTTCACTTTCCCAGTTTGACATGCTGCTGATCACTAAAAATCTATATGATGCCTGTATCCCTGTAAGTAATGCCTGTATCTCCCCCTGCAGGCGGCTGCATGCACATGCAGTGTCCTCTGTGCAGAGCTGAGTGGTGCTGGAGCTGTGGACGTCCCTGGTCCCCACAGTGTATGGAAAACCACTGGTTTACATAAACACACACTTGTTGCCGAGAGACTCTTCAGCAGGAAGCAGAGTGGAACCAGCTCATTTAGACAGAGAGCTGTATAAAAATGTTAAACATAATTATATGATAATAATTCACTGGTACAATTATTCACTATAAGTGGTTTTCAATCTGTATTTGGTTCATTTCTGTATAAATACATTTGATTGGTTGGTGCAGGTTTTCCGCAGGATGCTGCTCTCTGCACCCTGGACACTCCCACTTTTATTTACAGACAATTGGTATTGATTTATGATTTTTTGATCTACTGTGAGTGGTCGACTCTCGGCGCCAGCTCAGGTAGGTCCGACGTCACTGAGTTACTTCCTCTGTGAGCTGACTGATAAAGTTATGAGACTTCAGGTGGAACTGTGGTGTTTATGTCTTTTATTGCTTCACCTGTTTGCTGTTTAAAAAATCTACAGCACATGTTCTGACAACTACACCGGCTTCCTTTCACATTAAAAATAGAATCTGGAATTCTCCTCCTGATCCTGATCATGGACTATCTATCTATCACAACCAGACTTGTGGATACACAACATGTCTCCTCATCTTCATCAGTAACTCCACAGTTCATGTGTCTGCTCCTTCATCTCTATCAGACATGTCCTCATGTACAAATACTTTAAACATGAAGTCACAAACTGTTTCTTCTAATGTAGTGAATCTGTTGTTGTGTTGATGTCTTCAGTTCATCAGCATCTATTGTCCTCGTGTCCTGGAGACGGATCCTCACATGTGACTGTGAGCTTCAGTTACTGCTCAGAAAGTGTCTCTGTAGTTTGAGTCTAGTTGAGATCATTAAATGTGTAACCCACATGTTATACTGTGTGTTACATGTGTTATACATGTTATAGTGTGTAATGTGTGTTATTAAATTCAATTTTATTTGTATAGCACCAAATCCTAACATCCATGATCTCCAGAGTCTTCACAGAGGAGGTGAAGAGCTTCAGATCTTCTTCATATAGAGAAACCAACAGGTGAACCATGAGCAGCACTTTGAGTCTGTGGAGGAGAAACTCCTCATTAACAGAGAGAAACCTCAAGAACCAGACTCAGTGAGGAGACATCTGCCTCCACCGGGGGAGGAGAGAGACATAGGGAGGAGAGGGGGGGGGAGAGAGAGGGGAGAGAAGGACATGGGGAGGTGGGTGGGGGTGGAGAAGTGCTCAGTGCATGATGGGAGTTCTCCCTCAGTGCATGATGGGAGTTCCCCCAGCAGTCTAGACCTATAGCAGCATAACTAAGTGATGGTTCAGGACCTGATCCAGAACTTTAGACTTTATCAAAGAGGAACGTTTTAATTTAACTTTAAATGTAGAGATGGTGTCTGCCTCCMGAACCCAGAGTGGGAGCTGGTTCCACAGGAGAGGAGCCTGGTAGCTGAAGGTTCTACCTCCTGTTCTCCTCTTACAGACTCTAGAACCCAGAGTGGGAGCTGGTTCCACAGGAGAGGAGCCTGGTAGCTGAAGGTTCTACCTCCTGTTCTCCTCTTACAGACTCTAGAACCACAGGAGAACCTGTGTTTTGTGAATGAATGTTATACACACGTAACACACAGTATAACATGTATGTGTGTACTGTGTGTTACACGTGTTATACGTTACACAGTATAACATAACATACATGAACATTATAACATGTATGTGTGTACTGTGTGTTACACATGTTATACGTTACACAGTATAACATAACATACATGAACAKTATAACATGTATGTGTGTACTGTGTGTTACACATGTTATACGTTACACAGTATAACATAACATACATGAACATTATAACATGTATGGCAACATTATGATAAACATTTTACAAACTGCCAAAGGGCCCCGCCCCCTCAGCTGTTGATGGTTTCCGGTTCCGGTGGACGCGCTGTAGGTAAGAGGAGTAAAGATGGCGGCGGCTCAGACGGACAGAGATCCACCGACGGACCCGGAGTTCGTTCATTTCTCCGCCAAAGACACGTCATCGGTAAGAAGCTCCTCGCGCTGTCAGCCCTGCTGACGTCACCTGTGTCCGGTCAGTGTCTGTCAGCTGCTCAGCGCGATGCTTAAAGGTCACCGAGCTAATGCTAATGCTAATGCTAGGTGCAGGGAGGGATGTGTTCAACATCTGTCCTGCCTCAG